GGACAGGGTGCGAGGAAAGGAAAGAGGGGGAGAGGAGGGGGGAGGGGGGGGGGGGGGGGGGGGGGGGGAACAAAAACAAAAGGAGGAATGTAGGAAGCTAAATGGAAAGCTATCATGAGATCAAGGCCATGATGGTGCTTCTAACTGAAACTGTTACAGAAAAAGATGCTAAAGAACACGACTGAGTTGGTAAGGTTGTAAAAAATATATTATTACAGTAATATTACATACATATTTGTTAGATAAACATTATTACAATTTGGGGAGAAAAATCTGCATTGTAATATATTTTAAAATGTAATTTATTCCTGTGATGCAAATCTGAATTTTCAGCATCATTACTCCAGTCTTCTTTGTCACATGATCTTTCAGAAATCATTATAATATGCTGATTTGCTGCCCAAAAATTTTATTAATTAACAAATAAATAAATCAACTTATTTATGTAAACATCTTTACTGTTTGAACTTTTGAAATATTTTTGAGATGTTACGCAGACATGGCAGTGTAAGAATTGTGTACTTGTAGGTACTGATTTCCCCTTGTTTCCACATACCTTTCTCTTTCAGGTAAGTGGAAGTTTGACTCTGGTCTCAAACAAGTTGTACTGGCACTTCTTATTCTGTCTAATGAAGGCTGAAGATCACTGGAAAGAAAGAAAGAAAGAACAGTATTAACAGATGAATATATACATTATTAATCATCAGTGTACAGTGGGGACAGTGTGTCCTTTTTGTAGCATTTTGTAGTGTGTTTTGAAGGTACTTACACTTGAAACCCTTAAAATCATAAAATGAGTGTAAACAGATTATTGTTTCATTAAAAAGACTTTATGACCAATGGGACCATTTTCAAATGTTTTCATCTGTTCTCTTCCTGTACGTACATAAATATTAAACTGACCGCAACCTAAAAATGGCAACATCAAAATTAACTGGTTAAAGCTGAATCTACCTAAATATAATAATTTTGTACCAACAAAACTACTTTATATGGGTTAAATCATGTTGAAATATCTCTTTAAAGTAACCACCTTTTGCATTATACTTTATATTAATTTTTTGATTCTCTGGCTATTAACATAGTAATTGGGGGAGGGGTTGCCATCGGTAATACATGGCATAATATGGCATATTACGTCACGTCGGAGGACCGACGAATTGGGATCTTGCTTAGAGGGACCAATCTACTTCGAGTGTAAACTAAACGAGCCAATGCACTTTGGCATGCGATTATTGCATCCAGCTGCTGCTGATCACAGCGTGAGTATAAGTAGGCAGCAGATGCAGCGCATATTCAGCTTTTCGCTTTGGAGCCGAGCGATGCTTTGATTTCTCAGGCATATATACGGTACTTGTGCCTTTTCCAGCACAGCACAAACTATTTTAATTGCTCACTGCTTCTTCTCACTTGCTATTGATTGCTTTCTGGTTTGGATTTGGGCCCCTTACCCAGAGCTGACCTCGTCTGTGAACCTGAGAACACGCTGTGGAATGGCACTAAGAGGGATAACACCATCCCTCTCTGTTCGCCGGGGCGGTTTGTTCTTTAAGCATGCAGGGAGGGTAGAGCTTAGCATGGGAAGAAACAAATAAATAAACAAAAGCATGCATAACAGACATAAAAAGAAAGCAAAAATGAACTAAAAATTAAGTAAAAGTAGAAAGGGGCTTTTTAAATGTGAACATCACAAGAAGGGAAACTACTAATGCTCTCAGTTGAATAAATATATCTAGAAGCCATCTTTGTGATTGGGGTCGCCAACTTCAGAAGACGACAAAAAGGGACACTCTTGGGTTCTTTATAGGAAAATACGAGACAACATAAGGTGTCATGCTGTTGTGTACAAGCGTGTCTGCAGCTTTGTATGTCTCGAAACTCTGCTTGACTGAATTAAATGCTAAAATTAATCTGCAATATAATCACTTACTGATATACATGCCAGTTGTAAAATTTTATTAATCTGAATGTCATACTGAAGAATCACACATGCAACTCCGATCCCCTTACTTATGCGACAATTCTGCTTTATACAGAATGGTTTTCAGAATGTGTGAGTTATTGTTTTCTGTCTTTATATTAACATAATATATTTAAGCAATATTACAAGCAAAATTGCTATTTTCTATGAATATCAATATGACTGCAAATGTCATATTTACTTAACCATTCAATAAACAATGAGTTAATTGTATTGTGTGAAAATGTTAAGAGACAACTTTGTTCATTTTGACTGTTGATTGTTTTAGTTCCAAACAAAGCAACAAAAGAGTATTTTGTTCTTGAATGATTCATTTTTGAACAAATCGGAAGAGTCAATGATTCAATGACCCTCTCATAAAGACAGTGGTCACATACTTCCTAATGAATGAATCATCCGGTTTGAATGAATCGGTTAAATTAATGATTTTATAATTAGGACTTGTTGCCGGGTTTAGTTTCATATATAATATTTGTGATGCTGAGATGACAGAAAGCATAAGGGGAAAAAAAGTTTAATGTGTTAATATTTGAAATGTGTCAAATAAGTGCATTTTATTTCAAAAGGTAGATAAATGCATATTCCTAAAAATGTTTTGTCTAGAAGCTGTGTCTAGAAAAACAATATATGTTTTTATGACCAAGAGATATTCAATATTCGATACGTGTTATTGAATGTTAATAAGAGTAATTAATTTAATTTTCCTCATTTGTGGATACTGAATTTTCAGTATATATGCCAAGTTTATCTTAAACCAGATTAAAGCATACTCTTTAAGCAAATAATTTAATTAAGTATCTTGAAATATAAAAAATGTACACTAGGATGGGAATCAGCCGGGACCTGGTGATATAATATTGGATTCATATTTGGGTCATGATAACATAACAGTTTGATTCTTTATCTTTAGTGTATAGTTATTCAAAATTGTGATATATTGCATATTCTGCTTACTGGAATCTCATCTTCACTGAACAGTGTTGTTTTACCTAAATATATATATATATACAGTGGGTACGGAAAGTATTCAGACCCCCTTAAATTTTTCACTCTTTGTTATATTGCAGCCATTTGCTAAAATCATTTAAGTTATTTTTTTTTCCTCATTAATGTACACACAGCACCCCATATTGACAGAAAAACACAGAATTGTTGACATTTTTGCAGATTTAAAAAGTAATAAAAAAAATAAAATAAAAAGTAGTATGTGTTTATGAACAGAAAGCTACAGCAATTTCGCAGACTTGCTTTAAATAATTGGTGGACAATTAATAAATGCACATTATATTATTACAAAATACAACTCATGGTAAACTACAGTACAGAGATACAACACAATGAAAGGGAGGGGAAACTATGTCTGTAATGACTGAAACAGCACACACATTTACTGCAAGGGTCTGAAAGGTTTCACTAACAGTATGGGAATCTGCTCAATAGCTTACCTGTAAATATCTTTATGTATACCATTCACTAACAAGGGCATCTTTGGGGGAAGTGTGTTACAGTGCCTAGCTAATTTCCTAATTACAATAGCACAAACAAGCAGGCATCAAAAAGGGCAAAACATAATGAAAACCATTACTCAAGCAAACACCAAAAATATTTTCAATCGTTTAACATGGCAGACAACAGATGATAAATGACTGTAAATAAAGATTTCATGTAAATTCTTAAAAGCAAAATGAACTCAAAGGGGTTGTTTACACCTGGTCACTTCATGCGCTTTGTCTGATCGGATAGCTATCCGATCGTGAAAAGGCCAGGTGTAAATGCCCTCCGAAACGCATTCGAGACGGATATAAATCCGATCGCTCAAACCACTTCAGGAGGTGGTCTGGGCCGCATTCCAGACAAACTGCACCAGTGTAAATGCATCTGGTTGTTGAAACCACATATGTAAATTTTACTCTTCCCAAAATGTTAAAATAATAAACGTGTGAGAGCGTGTTATAGGCTATATGACATTATAGTCAGATATGACTGCACTAATGCAACACGCATCAACGAGGATGAGTAGCTGAGTATCTCTTCAGCAAGCCGACGTGCAAACTGCCACGAACAAAACAAAGTAATACGCAGATGGTCAACAAACAATCGTCTTCATTAAAAGTAGTAAGACAAACTAATCTTTCCAGTGCTGATGCCGCGCACTCTCCTATTGCGGTCTTTGATCTCGAAATGAGCTGATAATTAATAAAATACAGTGCTTATCTTTTGATTTTGTTGACGTGAACTCCGTTAAATTTAAATATAGCGCGGGAATTGAAGATTGGATTTATATCCGTTTTGCGACGACACATTTATGTAGCCAAGTGTAAATGGAAACGTTTTAACAAATCAGATAGATATCCGATCAGCGAAAACGCATGAAATGACCAGGTGTAAACAGGCAAAAAAATTCTTGCTCTAAATTCTCTTATATTTATGTCATCACCATAAGATTTGTATGCTCTAAAATTGTCAAGAAACATAGAAAGGCAAGGCATTCTGGGATACAGGTAACTCAAAGTTGCAGCTCTGGATGTTTACCTGTTTGTTTGCAGGCACTCAGCACTCCCACCTCGGATCGATCTGTGCATCTCCAGGACCTCGCTAAGTTTGCCATGGTGATGGTGACACATTGACAGTTTGACAACCAAACATAAAACAAAAGTAAGAGGATGGTAAGGAAAAAGAAAAGAAAGAAAACGGAATATGTGTAGAAAATGATAGACATGTATTTAGCAATATCTGTACTATTATTAATGGGAATGAACTAAAAACTATGACTGTTAGTCATATTAGTAGTATTAGTATTTAGTAGAGCAACAGCATAAAACATTTTGTTGACACAATATGAAAACACGTCAAACTCTGTTCTAAAACATCAAATGTACCTGATGCTATTTATCAATCTAGGTGTGAATAAAAACATACAATTCGGTATAGCTAAAGCATACGATTATGTAAAGTGCTACAGTGTTTTTCCACAAACACACTCACATTTTTATATATGCATTTGGAGCATTAAGCACTAGAATAGTGATACCTGTCCTCTGAATATTCATAGTCAGAATCTCCGGAGCGATGTTCCTGGTGGGAGTCGTGGCAGTGAGAGGGAGAGTAGGAATGATGGCGGTTTTTGTGGATCTCATCCAGACTCCTGAGGAGAGCATGACGAGTAATGAGTCGTACATCACACATAAATCATAATCTATAGGGCAAGACACTTCACACAACTATATCACCTATATCAGCATTACACTGAAATGCGTGCATGAATGAGCTCTATATCTATGCTGTGTCTGATGAAAGAGTTTTGCATGAACGCTGTTATTATCAAAGACCGACACGGAAGAGAAGAAATTGTTAATTTTTGTTTTCTTTGCGCACAAAAAGTATTCTTGTAGCTTTATAAAAATTACGGTTGAACCACTGATGTCACATGCACGGTTTTAACAATGTCTTTACTACCTTTCTGGGTGGCAGTTGCGTTGTTGTCATTTTCATTTTTGGGTAAACTATCCCTTTAAGACAATTTTTAGCAATAGTTGTTTTTTTTATAGTGAATATTTATTAATGTGTGTGTAAATTAGTTGATAAAAAACAGGAATTATTCATCAGCAACTGCTTCTGAGAAAAAAGTCAGAAAGAAACAAATAGTGATTTTCAATGGTAAAATAATAATAATAATTATTATTATTATATGATTTGAATATAATTATAATATAAAACAATAATATAAAATAAATAATAATAAATGCAACTTAAATGAAAACAAACACAAAAGTGACTTTAAATGACAAATTAATAATAATAATTATTATTATTATTACTATACATGTTAATATATTTAATTATAATATATAATAATAATTGACAAATAACAAAGGCTAAAAATCTTTATTGTTAAATTGTTGCTATGATTGGTCAGTTAGGTTGTGCTATCCAGTTGATGTGGCTCACCTCTGCATAGGGACGTGTGCAGGTCGAGAGCGGGCTCTGCATTGGTCTTCTCTGTGTGGGGATACTGACCGCGAGCGATGCTGTATGGCTGCCTGTCTCTCAGGTACGGTCAGTGTGCTTGACCTGTCCCTGTCTCTGGAGTTCCTCTCTGCTGCTTTAATACAAGTACATTCTGTGTCATGGACTTGTTCCAGCCAAAAAAAATACAGGGACATTGGAGAGTGACAATAACACACCAACATTCGCATTTCTAAAACTACTACAATTCATGCCAAGGGATTGTGCTGAAGTACCAGCACAACTGCTACTGCTCTACACATGCTAGAAAGAAAACAAGCAAAAAAGAAAGACCGAAAAATAAAATCTGCTCTGTGTGATTGTACTGTTACCATTTGTCTGATTTTGTCCCCTTTCATGTATTTATTTGCATGATCAATTGGTGTCACGTTTTACATTTGACTTTTATCTCATTCGCTTGGCAGAACAAACCTAAGCATTAACTGTACATGATGCATGAGTTTAGTGAAGTCTCTAAAAAGATGGCAAGTCTTGACGGTAGAAATGTATAAAGCCTTTCAATTGTGTTATGGTAAAAATATGATATGGGATTTTTTTTCCCCCAATGCTATCAATGGGAGTTTTCCCCTTTCAATAATGATTTCCATCACCATGCGGCACCCTAAAAATGGCTTCTTTCCATCTTCTTTCTATCCAGTTTTTCGTTCTTTTGTGGTATTACTTGGCATAGTGATTAGAAACTAGTTAAACAGCAAAAACAATGCTTGATGCTTGATGCACAACTGTACTAATGTCAAGCAAACAACACCACAAAATGTCACCACAACAAATCTGTTTCAACGTTATAAATTAATGTTCTAAAGTACAACTGTAAACAACTACAGATGATGCTACATCTGATCAAGGAGTTGCTGGTTACAACCACAGAGCTTTAATTAGGCTAGCCTAATTCATTAAATCATAATGCGAAACGAAGCATTTAACAGCATATGTATCATTTTCACTGAAACACATACAGTTTCCACAGTTTCCACTACAATTCACTCACGAAAATATCTATGAACTATGAAGTGAATGTATTTGAGCACAATTTAGAACTGGAGAAGCACACTGATTTGCAATAGTAAGGAATTGAGGCTTTTTGTAAAAGAAATCTGACTTGCATGCAGTTACATTAAAATGTAGATTTGGGAAGGAAGTGAATCGTCCCCCAATCAATGTTGAAAGGAATTTAAAATATGCCTAAATTAAGCATTAAGCGCTTCAGGGTTTCTGAGAATTCATGACTCATGCATCTGATGAACTTTTTATGATTGCTCATCAAAGCACTAACTCTGAACAAGTGCAAGTTTTCCTAAATTAATAAACAGAATATAAATGGAAAGCACTCCATTATACCCCCCCCCCCTCCACATGTTCAAATTAATCCTGAGTTCTTTTATGTGGAAGTAATATAAATATCAAAATATGTCACATTATCAAGTTCTCAGCATTGACATTAACTATATATTAAAAAATTTCAATCAAACACATTGTCTAGACAACAATCCTTAGATTTTATCTTGGATATCCAAGATAAATATAGTTTAAGAGTATACCGTGTTTACTGCAGGTATGACAACTTGCAGTACTCTTATGTTCATGGAACAAAGTATAAAAAAAACTTGAAATTCAAAATATCAGCCACAGCGTATTTATCTTTGATGCTCTAAATTCTACAGCAAGCTTTACTACAGGCATGCAACAGAGGTAATTTGTCATAAGACCCATATTAATCCTGTTACATGCTGTAATACACTGTTATAATCACTTTATAACCTCTAGCTACTTCAGCTTGACAACAAAATTAAACAGGTCTTATGAAGGTGATAAAAATATGTTTTATAGAGCGTGATTGTGGAGTCATTCCTCCACAGTGTCCATGCACAGAATTCATGTGAGGTGTTTCTGTGGTTCAGTTGAACACTCTACAGCCCAGCACAGGGGGAGAAAGACTCTATTCTGTTTTTTTTTTCAAACTAACACAGCCTTCTTTTATTACATATTATTCTATTCAACGCATACACACACTGTTTGATCTTATGCTTTCATCTTTGTGCCAATTAAGAATAAATAAATTTGTATTTGAGGTGCTTGTATACAACTAAAAGGCTCAGAGGAACAGTAAAAAACAACAACAACTGTAAACTCTACAGTAATAATATGTGACATTAGCTTTCTTTTTCACCCTGTGATGGGTTTCTACTCTTCAGAGTAATGATTGCCCCCACCCACCTGAGGACACTACTGTTATACCATCATCATAATCTGTTTCAATGATGCGATGAGATCCTGAGACACACACACACACACACACAGCATACAGTTCAACTGCTGAACATATAGTACAACAAATATTATAACTGCACTGCAACCTGCATTCAAAGCAATTCAGTTTTACCTTATTTTTCCTTCACCCTCTTCTCAGCACAAACTGGGGTATGAATAATTAATATGGTTGTTTGATCATTTGCTTGCTTTATTTATACTGTAGCTGTTGATTTTGTTCTCATGTTTAGTAACTTCTGACTTCTGTCTTTGCTCCTCTGCTTTAAAATATCAGTATTAATCTCATCAACAACATTAGTGATGGAAATGTACATTAACAAAGTCTCTTTTGATTTCGAAAACAAAGACAAAGTGTATAATATGCGTAAGGATGATAATATATATATATATATATAATTTAGATCAATTTTAACTAATATAAGGCAAGATGTACAGTATTTTTCGATGAAGAAAAATATAGAAATTATATGATTTTTTTCAAATAATGCAATCAGTTAATAATAATCATGCACTGAACAATAAACATCAGTAAACTGAAGCACTTAAATTACTCACCCAAACACTTATCTGTATAATGCAATAAAACTACAACATGGAAAATTAATAACTGAAGCATAAAGTATTCACAGCATTGCATCATAGTAGGCCTGGTCGATAAAACGGTATCGATATTTATCGACGGTATACCCTCTTCGATAACGATATACATTTTTTTTCGATATAGTGCATGAAATAGGCACGTGCTATGAGTGACGCAGACCGCACACACAGACACGAACATGAGTGCTGTGCCTGCCTGTGATGAGGAGATTGTGAATAAAAAAATTAATATTAGTCGAATTTAAAATAAACATTTGCATCAGAATGCAAAAATAGTACAATCAAATGTTAGGTGTGCGTCTGGGAGCGTCATCAGTGGAGCACGAGATGATGATGTAAGTGACGTTTTTGCATTTTAATGTTTTATAAGTCTAGCCCACAAGACGCGCAGTTGCAGTGTTATTCATTCAAAATATTAGAGAAATATAGAAGCTCAATGCGGAGAAGATCTTGATTAGTTAAAACCGAAACCAAGCCATTCACACAGAACGCATATTCAGCGCATTTTTTAGACGGACAAATATGACTGCTGCACTCACTTCTAACACACGAGATGTATAGACAGCCATGCAAAGTTAAAACAGTTTAAACTATTAGAAAACACGTCACAAATTTGTGGAGATTTATTCCTTTTCACTGCGTCTCATATGTTTTTAAATGCTATCTGCGTGATGAGTGTTTCGGCTCTTTGTATTAAGCAATGCATAAATACATGATGCTGTTTTGTTCATAATTGTTTATGCAATTTACATTATTATGTTTGATTTATATGAGTTAATTTAGACGCAATGCACGTTTTTTTATAGACAGTTATTTCCTTTGCGTTGGCAATTTAATGCGCTGCATTATTTTGCTCATTGCGCCCTCCTGTGGCCTCGGGAGACAAGCCAAAAGTTTCCATCAGACCTATTTAATCGGCATATAAAACATTAGAAATTAGATATTTGTTTAATTTTTATTTTGTGTTTGACTGTTAAAACAAATAAATTGGGTTAATTAAAAAATACAGTGGTTAAATTTAAACGTTTTTTTCTATTGCTCTTTGTTTTAAAAAAGGTTATAAAAAATGTCAATAATTATCGATACCGAACGATATGAAACATTATATCGTTGATACATTTTTTAGTTCATAAATAAATAAACTTTTACATATCTGGTTTGATTTGATTCTTGTAAACCAAAATATTTTTGTCTTAAATTTAAAATGAGTAAACTTATTTTAACACGATGAAATAAATTCAAATGATTTTTTCATCAAAAGACAAAAAAACTAAGAGTTTAAAAAAAATGAACAGTTGATTGTCTATATCGTGTGGTTTGCTCTTCATAACTTTTACATTTCTCAAAGAAAACATTAAATGAAGCACATAATATTGGCCAATTTAAAACCATGTAAATAAAGGAAACAATTTGCATCACTTAATTTTAACTTTCAACTGAGGACATCATCTATAAAACATATTTCCCTGAATGGGTAATTGTGTCCATAATGATTTAAAGTAATCTAAACCCAAATTTTAAGATATTGTAAGTAATTTACTTAAAAAAAAAGAGCAATGCAAACTGTTGCCTTCATTTCTTTTTATGAACACCTCACTTTTTACAGTGACACACACACACACACACACACACACTGTTAGCACACATACACCAGCTTATACTTACTTTGCAGTTTTTTACTTGGACTGTCTCCATGAACATGTCTGCTAAGGAGGCAGGGGGACGGCTGGGGCAATGGTAGGGATGACACATCATGGGTCTGCAATTTGTACCAGTGTGGCTGGTCATCCAATAGAGCTGTTTCCAGCTCGATCAGAATCTGGTCAAAACGAACGCCAGAAAAGGGGAATTTGAACAATGAAAGCATAACTGTTTGGAGGCCAAAATAACCCAAAGCACTACCAGATACACTTTACACCTGAGAAACATCAATTGACTGCTTCAGAGCAACTGCACACTAGGGGCATGTATAAATTAGCATATAAACAAAATGGACTTCAAAGAGCTTATTACTATGCTCCCACCGATTGGGATTTTATTTTATTTTTTAATTCAGGTGGTTTGAAAAACTATTCTTATGCATACCAGTGGAGTCAAGAAAATTGAACACAAGTACATATTATGTGTTGTTTTGAAGCTAGATATAGATACCTTGATATCTTATGTCAGGACATACTACTGTAGTTTAAGCACACACACCTCTCCCAGAAATTCACTCTCTTCCTCCTGGACTCTGGGCTGGTCCCAAACAGTGATCTCCAGCATGCGCTCTCTGAAGTCTCTGTGGTGAACGTGAGAATACAGGAACGTCTGGTTCCACTTTGGCTCTGCAGTCTTCTTCACCGTTTTCGTCCGTCTCTTGCTCTTGTCACTATGTAGACGAATGTAGTATGCTTATAAGAGTGTGTGCAGTCTGCAAAATTTAGCAAATTTATCCCAAAAATCAGCACAAATAGTCTGCAGATTCCATTTCCACCTGCTTATCATTTAATCTTTTGGCATGGAATGCATTTCAGATACTCCGCAATACCCAAAATGGAAAATGCAAGTCAGATCTTACAGTAGAGAGCTAGTGCATGGACGAATATATCATTAAAGACAAAAAAAAAATTGTTTTTGAGAAAAGAAACATTTTTGAGGCCACCAATCTACACTGCCATTCAAAAGTTTACAGTCTAGTCTTACAGTTTTAGTGCTTTTAAAGTCTCTTCTCTTCTGAGCAAAAATACAGTAAAACAATAATATTGTTAAATATTATTACTATTATTAATACATTTAAAATATTTTACCTTCTATCAGGAAGAAAATACATTTTGACGTAGGGATTTCTAGGTCGTCCGTCTGGTCGAGGGGGCAGTTCTCGTGCTTGTAGGACATTGACAATAAGCTGATGGCCCACTTTATCATACCATAATTTCACCTTGGTAAAAATTATAATAATAATAATAAAAATTATAATAATAACAAATAAACATATCACTTTCTCCAAGTTTTTAAAGTGTTGGCAATGCATTTTTTTTATAACTCAGCAAACAGATAAAATATGTCAACCCTGTGTCACACACCACATTCCTTTTCAGGTGAGAAAATAGGTCTAAATATTTTTTTCTGCAAAGTGTTTTCCCCCTCTCCATGCTTACCGACAGCTGGCCTGGCAGTACCAGAGGGAGGTCTCTCAATATCCCAGGACTAGTCGGTGACATTACAGAGATGGATGGACGGTCCATCTTTTGGGATTCATCTATAGAACTCGAACCAGCTGTAAGTTCAAAAAGTTGACATAATAGGTATACAGCTGTGATGTATTGCACACTTAATGGTGAAATGTACTACATTTAGATTTTTAATCATAGTGTTTGTCATGTCATATTCGATAAAGATAATTTTGTCATCATTACTCCCCCTCATGTTGTTCCAAACCTGTATGATTTTCTGTCTTATGTAGAACATAAAAGAATATATTTTGAAGAATGCTGGTAATCAAACAATTGATGTCCCATTGACTTCCATAGTTTTTCTTTCCCTACCATGGAAGTCAATGGGAAACAACAACTGTTTGGTTCTTTAAAATATCTTCTTTTGTGTTCAACATACAGGTTTGGAATGACACAAGGGTGAGTAAATGATGACAAAATGTAATTTTTTTTGTGAATTATACCTTTAATGAATGTTTTTGAAAATAATTTTGTTGAGGTGATTAACACTGCCCTTGTGTCAAACAATGAAAGTCAATAGTGACTCTTGTTTTGATGCATTTTAATCACATGGAAAAAAAGCAGCTTGGACATTCCGCTAAATATCTCCTTTTGTGCTCCACATAACAAACAAAGTCATACAGGTTTGAAATGACACGAGTGTGAGTAAATGATGACAGAATTTTCACTTTATGGTGAACTATCTTTTGAAACTAAAGTCACAAAACCTACTTGATTCTAGAGGAGGATGTGATGTTCCTGGAAGTCTTGGAGTTTCTCTGCAGGAAACAGAAAATTGAAGCACAGGAGAAAAGAATGTCAGTTGACAGATCATTAGCTTCTCCCTCGGTTAGTTTTTCCACATACATACACACAAACTTGACTCCCTCTTGAGACGTCATAGCAAAACTGTCCAGACACAGGAAAGAATAGGGAACTGAAGGACCGCTCTAATGCAATGGCTGAACAGTTTTAAGGGTGAGAGGAGGGTCTGGAGCATGTAGGGTGACAATGGAGACACTAGGAAGAAGAACAGTCTCAGATACTACTTTACTTACTGATATGCTCTATAGACCTTTTTCAAGAAGTTTTTGGACAGAATTCGCTGAATACATCTTTAACATGCAACAGGAAGAAAAATCACTGTAGTCACTCATACGTCCGAAGGTTTGTTTTCTTTATTTAATTTCTAAACTAGCTGCTAATTTTTTTGTGGTTTGTTTAGCTTACCCAATTGGTCTGGAAACAACTATTTCCACTTGAGGTGCTGACTGGGACTCTAGAATAATATTGTACACTTCCTTTTTAGTTGCTCCAGGCAACGCCTTTCCATTCCACTGTAACACCTCATCGCCTGAAAAAAAAACCACATTTAGCACTTGGTGGCATCCTGCATAGACAGACTGACTGAATAATGAGCTGTGAAAAATTACACGTAGATATGCAACCAAAAATATCAACGGAGATCTAGCAGAAGACATCCATAAAGCTAAGGTCAAAATACAATTTTTAAATACTGCAACTTTCTTACAAAATTAGCCAGTCAAAACTGAATAATTATTACCTGCTCGTAAATGGCCTACAATGTCAGCCAAACTTCCTTTCTTTACTTTGGTGATAAAGGCCCCCAGTCTCCCTGACTCTGTCATTTTTCCACCAACCACCTGGACAGGACAGACGAGTCAAGTCAAGTAAAGTCACCTTTATTTTTATAGCACTTTATACAATAGAGATTGTTTCAAAACAGCTTTATGGTATTAAACAGGAAAGTAACAGAATCAGTGATGCAAATCCAAAACTCTGCCATAAAGCAGCTCTAGCAAGACAAAAGTGTCATTGTTTAGTACAGTTTTGATTCAGATCAGTTCAGTAATTAAACTAGTTCAATTCAGCAATAAGAAGCTCTACTGAGAACAGCAGTGTCGTTATTCAGTTCGAGTCATTTCAAGTTTTGTTCTCATCCAATAGCGTCAGTGCTGTCTAAGCAAGCCAGAAGATGACAGTAGCAACGAACCCAAACTCCATCAGATGAAAGGAGATGGAGAAAAAAAAACCTCGGGAGAATCCAGTTCTCCCCTGGCCTAAGTGAATGAACACGATGACACAGTGAACCATGTTTACTCACAAACTAAGTACTGTTCTTCAGCATCTTTACAGAGACATTTTGTAGAGCATGGTGCTAGCAACACTAAAATATATCATTTGAAAGCACTGCAAGTCACTTTGGATAAAATGTCTGTCAAATGCATAAATGCAGTAGGGTAAAGAAGCATCCATAATTTACTAGGATGACAAAACAAACAAAAAGTATGTCTGATTATTACGAGTATGTCTGATTACTGACTAAAGCAAAACACATTTGTTTTATGGTTTTTAGTAGTAAATGCCAAGTACTGTCATGAAACTCTAAATGGCACAGGCTGATGCATCATTAATGCAAATTGATGATATTATTCACAGTGTTAAATTACTTGGCAAAAGCTGATTGGTTCATGTTGCATGCGCAGCCACTGAGCTTACTGCTTTACATTTAAATGGCTGGTAAGCACTCACTAGAGCATTTCACAGTGTACTTTCAGAGTTACTCTGAAACCCTCCACCTTCCCCAGCTCCACCTGTATAGATCTGCTACGGGTTATTATATATGCTATTTGCGCAGCAGCCGTTTGTTTTAAATACTCACAGCACCGTGTCGGCGTATGTATTGGCAGTAGCAAGTTACTGTATTTGCTTTGCAGCAGCAGCAATAATCTACAACAACATCAATAACCAACAGCAGCAGCAGCAGCGTAGCAGATCTATTCCGCCAAGACCAAATACATTAACATTGCCATAATCATTCCCATGCTAAAATCTTCCAAGAGTTGTCATAATAGAACTATAACAACCCTTGTCATTATTACCTTTATATATCATAACAAGACCAAATAATGACAAGAAAAGGTGTAGTCTTGTGTAGTTTAAGGTGTAGTCACATTTAGCATTGCAAAATTTAGCAAGTTAAATCCAGTCATTTTAATGGGAATCAGTGCAATTTCGCCTGATGGACTTCTGGAGGTAAAGAAATTCCCCTATGTCAATTTCACTTTGGGTTCAAATTTTTGAACTTTGACCTAAATTTGCAGCACAGACTGAAAGCAAGCCTCTCTTCTGCAGTGACTTCTGTGTGGGTGGAGTTTCATAACTTAGCAATAAAGCAAAACTGAAGCTCCACAATGGACAAGGTCCTCATTCTGGCTACTCAGCCGGTTCTGCATAATATTACACCTCAATTATAAAGAAAAAAGCTGTAAGGAAAGCTGTTATTTAGGGCTGGTTTGTTTGCTAGCTGGCAGAATAGCTTTGGATGTTTATTTCATCATTATTATTCCCATATTATTAACTATATTTTGTCACATCTGGTCCTGCGTTCGCCTGTGAAATTTCAATACAGTAAATGGGACCGCACCTTTAGTGTAGTACATCCCTTCAAGTGCAAGACACGGACAAAGATGTGATTAGCTAGTGTAAACTGCCATTGACAAGCTCACCTTCAGACCCAGCAGGGATCCGGCTTCTCGTGGCATGGTGGAGCGCTTACTTAGAGTGATCCGGCCAATCAAATGATCTCCCTCTTTGGATGGCTGCCAGCTCACTGGATGCTGTGAGGAAGCGAACAATGCTTTTTTAGTCCCATTAATGCTGAACACACATTGCTGACATGACATGTATATGTGAACATACAATTCAGTGAGTTCAGCTACAGAAACGCTGTAATCAAACAACTTCTGTTTCTGCTATTATCCATTGCCGGCACTGATACATGACTGCAATATATGATTGAAATATTTACATGCCACACAGTTGGGTCCAGAGGATGACAGTCCCAGTCACCTGCAGAATAGAAATTGACATTATGAACACAGTAATTAATCCAAAATAGAGTTGTAGAAGCCTGATGACAGTCGTAATGGAGGATTGTTTTAAAAACTGCATAGCTTCTAGATGGAAACCAATTTGTGAAAGTGTTATTTAGTATCACTGACATTTTAATGTAGTAATATAGTTTTTGTTAATATTTTACATTAGACTTTACTTTTTTTTATTTGTTAGAGTTCTTTAGTTAAATGTCTGTGTAGTTTTTAATAACCTAATAAAAAATTATAAATGTTGGCAACTAGCTGACATAAAATAAGTTTTAATGTTTTTAATATTTTATTTCAGTTCAGTTATAATAAAGCAAAAAATTTTCTTTTATTTTTAAGTCCTTCAAATGTTTATTAATGTTTTTAATTTTAACTGAAATTAATCAAATTTTTTTGTAATTACAAACTTTTTTTGTAATTAACATGTTAGTGGATTCAGTTACATTTTTCAGGAAAATATGTTTTGCAGTTGGTTTCAGCAATTTTATGTGAATTACACTTCTAGAGAAAATGTATGTGCATAGATAAATACAATTTACAAAGGAGGATTTTATTAATCTCAGCCTGTCAATTATTTTGGCCGATGTCATATTGAATGAATGCCTTAAAAGCGTTAAGAAAAATTAACTGTGTTAAACATTTAATCGCATGTGTAATTTTGACAGGCCTAATCAATACATGTGGTTGTTTAATGACCCAGAATTTGACCTTTACCTTACAGGAAGAGGGAATTTTCTCACTTGATAAGCTGTGTATAAGAATAGACTCATACTAGATAGATTTACACTTGAGAAGAAAACTAATGCTATAAATTGATAGAGAGTTCATTTAACTTAAGGGGAGCATATCACAAAGTATATTTGCCTTCAGCAACAAAGGTGGTAGATGTTTAAAGTGCCAAACCCCAAACAAGATACTATATAGCCTGTATAAAAGTTTACAGTCTCATTTGATCATCTTGATTACATTCATAAAACTGTCTTCCAACTCTAATGTATAGTGCCCAAAAAGACCCTCCGCACATACTGAATGAAGTATAAGCTATTCCCTTGGCAATGACTGACATTATAAGCTTCTGTCCAGTATTTGCTTGTCCTAGTTATCAGGAATGAAGTCACATTAGCTCTGTATCTGCCATTACAAACACAACTGCCAATGCCAAAGATGGTGCTACAGTAAAAAAAGAAAGAAAATGGTGAGTTAACAATGGTAACATCTAAACTAACCGGTTTTACTTGAGTCAGAAATTTGAATTAACATCCACCTAATTACATTAATTTATACAACCAAAATTACTTTATATGATTTAAATCATGTAGAAAAAACCTATTTGAAGTAACAATGCAGGTTACCACTTTTTGCAGTGTATATTCATATGTGACCCTGGACCACAAAACCAGTCATAAGGGTCAATTTCTCGAAATTGAGACTTATAAATCAGCTGAAAGCTAAATAAATGGTTTGGTAGGATAGGACCATATTTGGCTGAGATACAACTATTTGAAAATCTGGAATCCGAGGGTGCAAAAAAAATCTAAATACTGAGAAAATCGCCTTTAAAGTTGTCCAAATGAAGTTCTTAGCAATGCATATTACTAATCAAAAATTAAGGTTTGATATATTTATGGTATGAAATCTACAAAATATCTTCATGGAACATGATCTTTACTTAATATCCTAATGATTTTTGGCATAAAAGAAAAATCGATAATTTTGACCCATACAATGTTTGTTTTGGCTATTGCTACAAATATACCGCAGTGACTAAAAGACATGGCTTTGTGGTCCAGGGTCACATCTTATCCTAAAAAGGCAAAACTTAACTTTTTAAGGTAATATGAATAACTTGTTATGAGTTAGGGCTGCATGATAATGGTTAATGATTATTTTGCTCAAAAATTATAATCACAATCACAAATTTTGTTTTACATTTCATCAGAATTATTGTACTTTCGTGTAGCCAGATATTAAGAGAATGTCAACTTATGTGAAGGGTCTATTCTACCACGTCAAGTTTCCTAAATCATTATATTTATCATATAAATGAACACACTCTATACATTATGAAAATTGGCAAAACTTTAAGAAACTTCTCTCAAAAGCTAATATAGTAAGATTTTGAATATTGAGTTCAACAATTATTTAAAATTATGTTAACATTTTTGTAAGTATAAATCCTAAATCCTACTCAATTTTAATAAATACCCCTGCACAACAACAATCACAAACAATATGTCAAGATTCGTGTTCATTCTTGTTACCAAGGAAAGATAAAACCAATGTTAAATTAAATAACTTTTTCAGGATAAATAACCAGCAGCCCAATATTGGCATCAAATCAATAAATTCAATCAAAACATTTGGATTCTATTTGATCTCATCTCCAGTGTTGGTGCAATCACTGTCTTTTGCATTTTTAGGACAGGATAGGAGGAGGTGACGGTGGTGATAGAGAGAAGTTATGTCAACTTCAACAAACTCTTTTAAAACACAAACATTTACAATATCATTTAAGTCTCAAATTATGTCTGTGTTTGAAAAAATTCTGGGGTGAAAATTGCAGTGAATTTTGGAATAAAATGTCAAACTTTGTCTTCCAAAGATTAATTTCAGAACAAGCTTTTCTGGATCCTAAACACACACAGATAAATATCATTTTCACAATTTTTTAATAATTTGACAAAATTGGAGCTTAATTAAATACAAACACATGATGCCAGGGACTTTCACAATTCTGCGACCTGCAGCTGAGAGTAATGGAAAGAGCCAAAGCGTAATCATGCTCAGAGCTGGAATGGGTTACCCAAGGATGAATATGAAAAAGTCCACAAATGGAACATGCTGCATCCCAGGACTGACGAAAGCCAGCCAGTCAGTCACTCAGCGGTTTTCTGTGAGAGCTGCTGACCTAATTCCCAAATCTGGTGCCCTAAAAATGTTCCAAATAAACAAATGGAGCTTCACTGCATGAATCAGCAGGGTTTGTTTCACAGACCTCAGACTCAGGACTGATCATCATGGTTGAACAGCTTCAATGGCGTATGTAACATGATGCTATTTATGGCTTTGATGTGAGTATTATGCAGAAGGAACAGTTATAAACTTTGAGAACAATATATATATATATATATATATATATATATATATATATATATATATATATATATATATGTATATAACAGTGGGCGCTAAAAAAAAAAAACGATTCAGATGGTAATAGTTTCTCATATGGACGTCTGTAAAAATCAATTTAAATATCACCTCTGTGATAAAATCTCGTGGATTTTGATGGCGATTTATTCACAGTGGAGGAGCGAGTTCTGTGATCCTTTGAACCCGCTTGAATACCTGCTGCTGCCATAATAAAGACCCATTTCAGATGTTTACGTGCTTTTCTTCTCTTTTTGCTCCCAGTCGCTGTGCTGGAGCAGTTACGAAGTATTGTTCTTTTAAATACTTTCCAGCATTTCAGAAATAAATATGTATGCAAATTACACCAAAGTACAACATTACCTTACGGTGTTCAGGAGTGCTCAAAAAAATTATAAACGAAATTAAATTACCACACGACCTTGGTGTTTGTCAAAAAACAGTAGGTAATTTGGCCGAGGATTTTTACGGGGGTGCTGAGAAAAAAACACAGACATCCTGGATTCGGACGCTATTAAAATCACCAACTACCCCCTGTAAATGGTGAAAATCACTTACGTCCCCCTGTGAAACAATTACCGTCTGAATAGGGCTAAAGACAGTTTTTCATTTTATTTTAAAACACCTGCTACTTTAATAACCTTGTGCAATAAAATAGTGTCAGTGCCCATGGCCCAGTGTCCCACACCAAACACACACCATCAATCTGTTTACACTTACTGCTGCCATGATCACTAAAAAATATTCAATTTAAAATAAAATTTTTACTTATCACCACATTTACCACTGTATTGCGTATGTAAATAAGAGTGTTTAGTGAATTTGTGGCTATTTGACAATAAAATTATCTACATAAAGATCACCTACCTTTTTCACTAACACTTTCGATCTCCACGTCCTCACAGCTGGTGTATTCAGGCGTGGAGCCGCCCTCTTCTTCCGAGCTACTGATGGACATCTGCCTTTTGTTGAGGCCTCGTTTGGGTCTATAGGCTCTAGGTGGAGGTGGCCGTAACGACTCAGATTGGTCCGAGCTAAGAGAAGAATCTTTACGCATGATTTCTGCAGCCTTTTCCCGCTTAGCCCTGTGCAGAAAAGCTGCGGACCCAGGTTCCAGATGCCCCTTTGGGCCCCAGTCCTGTCCGTCCCTGAGGTCTGGGGGCCCAGTAGGGCCCACTTGAGGGCCACCGTGGCCCTGTTTAGCGAGGGATCCTTGTCCCCCAATGCCACCCCCCACGGTCCTGTCCACAGAATAAGCTCGATGGGTTTCTATAAGGGCTTTGCGGTCTTCGTTGTTAGCCACTCGTTGCCTGCTCATGCGATTTCCAGCCGCCTCACCCCCATCTTGCATTAATCCAACTTCGTTGATGGCTAGGTCACTGTGATGACGCTCCTGACGCATTTTGGACACTTTGGCATGCATACGCATTTCCTGTTCCTCCTTCTGTGGTTTGACAGGGTAGCGTGCGAGGTTCGGGTCACTGCGGTACCGAGTCTGATACTCTTCCTCTCGTCTTTGACGCTCTCGCTCTTCCTCTTCCTGTCTCCTTCGCCGCTCGGGATGGGTGGGCTCATCTTTGGGATATTCCTGCGAGTGGCCTTTCTCCAATCGTCTACTGTCACGCTTCTCACCTGGAGCTCGGTCTTCAGAGGCCTGTGATGACAACCGGCCTGGGCCTCGCCTTCTCTCTCCACGTCCCATCACCTTTCCATTCTGCTCATGCAGGGACACTGGTCTCTTCCTATTATTCAGCAGACAGAAGTGGGAAATACTTTGAGATACTGTATAGCATTTGGAATTTGGAAGTGCTGCATCCAATTTGCATTCACAACTGCTACAATAGCAGTTATTTATAATAAATAGCACAACACCTGTTAACCCCTGTGTTTTAAATTGTGTTGATTCAAATCCAAAAAGGATTTAGTTGAATATGCATCTGATAGGAAGACAAGCAACAGACGTCATCCTATAAAGAGATTATAAGGCAGGAGCTGCAGTCCACATACTGCCAGTTGAAAACAGGTCAGGATAAACAGATTTTGTTTAAATGTCCAGCTTAAAATAGAACAAATTGTATGTTGACAATAGGGATATGTAACACCACATAGGCCTATTTTGAAAATTCAGTTCTGGGAACCCAATGACTAGCTGAATATTCGGTCTTAACAAAGCCCTCTACAATTTGGATTGCTTCACATAACCCTGGAACTACTAAGAATCTGACATGCCATCTTGAAACATGGCAATAAGGTCCAATCAACTAACATTAGTTGTCCCACTTAATATTAGGTGGCCTTAACTACTATGTTATTACATTTAAATTAACAATTTGGTAGAATGCACGTATTTAGTACATACATGTTGTACTTATATTTTAAAAATACCTGCATGCAATTACATCTGTAATTAATTTCTGTAATTACATTCATAATTACACTGTTGACCCATCTCTGAAATGGCGCTACAGGGTGACACAGAGGAGACGGATTGTTGAATAAAGTCTTCTTTTTTTCTTTTTCTTTTGTGCACAAAAAGTATTCTCATAGCTTTGTAAAATGACGGTTGAACCCCTGATGTCACATGGATTATTTTACAGATCTCCTTGCTACGTTTCTGGACTTGGGAACATTTCAGTTGCGTTGCTGTCTATGCAGGGTCAGACAGCTCTCAGATTCCATTAAAAAATATCTTAATTTGTGTTCCGAAGATAAACAAAGGTCTTACGGGTTTGAAACGACATGAGGGTGAGTAATTCATGACAGAATTTTCATTTTTGGGTGAACTATCCCTTTAAGGCCACCTAATATAAAGTGGGACCACATTAGATAATGCATTTGGTATGAAGTAACAACAAACCACAACAATTGACAATATAACACATTTTGAAGCATTTATAATTCTGAGCTAATCTTAATAAATATACTATTGTTCATTGTTAATTCATGTTTGTTCATAATACAATTAAATATAAATGTAGATATTATTCGCTCTTTGAAATTAGCTATTTTTGGCCATTCATTAAAAGCTCACACAACCATGCATTCTTCAAAAACTCCACATTATTGTAAAAGTAATCTGTATAAATCTATAAAGAAGCTCAAATGTGCTTGCTCGACAAGCATTTTGGGGGTTGCTGTTGTGTCATGCAAACATGTTTGAGCTTCTTGTGCATCAAGCAAGAACGGTTTGTTTATTGTATTTGATGTGTCTGATGTCCACGTTGATGACCAGCGTTTAAATGTTAGTAAAAGCCTTAATTAAATCTATTAATCATATAAAGCAATTATGTCGGTTAAATCTTCAATTGTGTTCCAAAGATAAACAAAACTCAAAGAGGTTTGGAATGACACAAGGGTGAGTAAATGATGACAGAATTTTATTTTTTGGAGTGAACTTTATCTTTAATTTATACACTTTAAAATGGTAAAAATTTACAATTAGTGTATGTGAATTAAAAATGAAATTGTCCATTGTTAGTTCATGATACCTAACCCATATTAAGAAATTGAACCATCCTGTAAAGTGGAATATGGATACAAATCAGATGTGAATCATGTAAGGCTGCAGGGATGGTCATTTTATTGTGGTTTTACCCTGCAGCAATACAAAATAAATAAAAAAATATATCCTAGTTGATCTCACCCGAAAGGCAACAAGACAACCTTTACGACCCATCCTTAGTTGACACAATATACAAAAGCTTATTTCAGTTGCCACCCATAAATATGCACCTCTGCATTGCATACTTTGCAGGCTTTGAGAAATATAGCTTAGGACTGGCATGTGTACAAATTGTGTAATGTTTTTTGGCCTACTTGTCTCGTGGTGGTTCACTGCGGGAGCGTGAAGCAAGCATCGTATCTGCTCCCTTGGTGGGGTCACCAGCACCAGCTCTGTGTGGCAGAGTGTCGTTAGCAACCGGAGCCTGTGATCTGGAGCGCAACTTCCTGTCCTTCTCCAACTCAGGGACACCGAGGGGAGCACCCACACTAAGAGGCCTCCCCCCAGGCCCTGATGAAAACCATTCTCCTGATTTAGTTAGGATTTCCTGCTGTTTCCTGCACAGGTTACATACCCACATCACCTGCATAGACAAATACAAGCGTTTAAGGCAGGCAGAGATTGATGATCATTGTAAATGATCAAGATTACAGAATCGCTAATATATTGGTATTCAGAATACTTGAATTACATTGTTTTACAGTATTTTAAAAAATACATTTAAAATAAGACAGAGACAGACATATATAAACATAAAATGCATACAATACAGTGCATCCACACACTATCAAACACTGTACATTTGTTAACTATATTTATCTAATATAATTTTAATCTAGCAATTTCTCTGAGCAATAGGCAAGGAATATGAACTGAATGTTGAGCAGGTATAAATATGAGCTACAATATTACATAATCAAGTCAACCACTCTAAATCAAGTTCTATAAGGTACAAAAGAGGCTATTTTCAAGTCAGTCAATCTACTTCTTCACAGTTTCCTACACCTGCTGGATTGCACTAATTGCTGTTGGCAGCTATATTTTGAAAAGCCATTCAAAGGTTGTAGATCACAGTGCAAGCCTTGAAAGCTGATGGTACCTAAAAACCCCATACATAGATTGAAAAGCACAGTTTTCAACTTAGTTCTTATTGAAACAGGAAGTTGGGATGAAAAGATATTTAATAACAAACATAATCTGAAAGCTAAAAAGCTTGAAAGCTCTGAATTTATGGCATCTTTAATGACCTGAAAGATTGTGCAATTTAATAACTGGAGGTCTACTAAGAGCACAAATGAAGAGAATCAAGAAAAAAAAACTGTCATCATGTTATTTCAGATTCATAACATAAGACTTCTGTTCATTTTTGGGACACGACTGAAGAGATATTTTTAATATTTTTTGTATCCACTGAAAGTCCATGCTACCAAAACTTTTACACATTAAAAAGTATTGAGCAATGCACATAGCTCATTAAATATGGCAACCATATTTGCTTGACGTATAAGAACAAACCTCATTGGTTCTTGCGAAACATTTTACATGCTTGCATGACACAAGATAACTAACTTCACAGGTTTTCATACGGCAAGCAAGCATGTTTCTCCTTACATTTACCATATTTGATGTGATCGATTTATATGCATTGCTCAGTTGAAGGCCTAAATTAAACATATTCATCATATAAAACAATTGTTTCTCTTCTGAAAACATAACACTGTGGACTTTCAGTGGACAAACAGAAATCTGTCAGGTTTCAATAAAAATATCTCCATTTATGTTTCAAAGATTAACAAAAGTCTTATGGGTTTGGTGAGTAAACTAATTTGAATGTCGTGGAAAAGTTCATTTATTTCAGTAATTCAACTCAAATTGTGAAACTTGTGTATTAAATAAATTCAATGCACACAGACTGAAGTAGTTTAAGTCTTTGGTTCTTTTAATTGTGATGATTTTGGCTCACATTTCACAAAAACCCACCAATTCACTATCTCAACAAATTACTACATGTACAGTAAATGAACATACTTTCGAGAAGGCCAACAATTCACAAAAAAATTGGTCTTATGAAGTATTCTAATTTGTTGAGATAGAGAATTGGTGGGTTTTTGTGAAATGTGAGCCAAAATCATCACAATTAAAAGAACCAAAGACTTAAACTACTTCAGTCTGTGTGCATTGAATTTATTTAATACACGAGTTTCACAATTTGAGTTGAATTACTGAAATAAATGAACTTTTCCACGACATTCTAATTTATTGAGATGCACCTGTATATCATCAGATCATCTTGCAAGTCTTTGGCAGTAAATTGAGGGGTTTTCTCAGTTGCTCTGATCAAGCATTTTAGTCCCCATGATGATTGTATGCTTTTTCTTCAATGCCCTCAAAGATTTTCTGGTACAACACATTTTAAATGAATAAAGCTGCCAACTTTGTCTCTAGAAACCTGTAGTGTCTTTCAGTCCATAGACTTTCTCATGTAACAAACCGTTTCTTCTCTATAGCTTTTATGAGAGCTCTTTTGACTTGGCCATATTTGCTACTCAACTTTAGCAAATGCATGGCTTTTATGTATCTTACAACTTAAGCTAATGCATTTTTGTTATAGAGTTTCAAAATACTAAATTGTGTTTTAACACAACTTTGTACCATACCACAGAAATAAGTGATTTATAAACAGCAATGCTGAATAAGTTTGACATTACAAAATAAATGAATGAATAAATAAATCCTATAACTCAACATTATCACTTTTAATATGCTACTAAATGGTTATAGATGCAATTAAAACTAGAAAAGAACCTTTAGAAAAGCTTACATTTGAACAATATAACAATATATCAGGATTTGAATCATTTTCATTGCATGTGTGTATTTTTGAATAGGAAGTAACATAAATCAGAAACAAATAAATTGAACCTTATTGTAAAATGTTTCCAAAACTGCAATGCTCCTGTCACAGTCTTCAGCTGGTGTGCCCAGGATGGCCACCAGATGACACTGTTATTCTGTGAGCACATGGCTTGTGTTTGTTTGGTGCCATGTGCTCTGCCTGTCTATTGTCTGACCCCGCCCATCTTGTTACCTCATTATTGTTTAAGTTGCTCCACCTGTGTCTCCCTCGTTAGCCTCCTCGTTTGGTTTCCCATTTATTCTCCTGGTGTCTGTAATCCTGTGCTGATCCGTAGTTTTTCATTGTGTGTGTTATATCTGCATGTAGTGCAGTTCCTTGCCTGCCTGTCTGTTTTTCCCCCTCGGAGTTGTTTTTGTTTCATTTTATTATTAAAAGAAAGAACCATTCATCCTGCACTTGAGTCCTTGCTTCATTTCTCCACACGCACCATGACAGATCCTACAGTAGCACAAGGTGCTAGAATATGGAGCAAGGAGTGACACAACAGCCTAGGGCTGGACAATAATTCAATATCAATATGTATCGCGATATAATTTTTTTCAATAACGGTGATATGATTTTTAAACACATTTCTGATATTTCGATATACATTATCAGTGTTTCCCATACATTGATTTATTTGTGCCATTTGACTTTGTTGAATAAACATGAGCACTGCACGCTTCAAAATCAAAACGTGTTGTGGGTGTTTTATATGAATGTATCTCTTATGGGAAACGACTGTTTTCAGAATAGTTTAGATGGCATTTTTATCTGATAAAGTAGCATTCATGAGCGGAGCTGCTTTGTTTACAGCCATTACAGGAGAAACCGCTAGTTCCACCGCTCTCACAGCGCCTCCTGCTGACAGACAATCAGTTTGCATTTTCAATAATAAAGCCATTTCCAGCAACATTTTTTTGTTATTGCTCTATTTTTTTGTTTTCTGAAGCAACTCGGAGCATGTTTCATACTCGTTATCCTGTTTAATGCATGTTTCAATCTATAAGAATAATAAGCCTACACTACCAGTCAAAGGTTTTTGAACTGATTTCACATTTCTTGTTTGTATGAAGGCTAAATACCAATAAAAGGTGAACATTTATTTATTTTTCCTAAAATATTATATAGTTTTATAGGAGTAGGTTTCATAGAGTTGGCTAATTAATTTGTCATACGTTTGTAGGTACAGACATCTGTTGTGGCAGTTCTTGGCCATTTTTATGAGGCTTTTTTAATAGTGTTCATATCGATATCGGAATTATATCATATCGACCGAAATTAAGAAATATATCGTGATATCAATTTTGGCCATATCGTCCAGCCCTACAACAGCCAAAAAGACACATATGGCTGTAGATGGTATCATTAACATGGTTTTACTTTGCATCTGTTCACATGCTAATTAAACACCACTGCTAGAATACCAATACTTAACAAATATAAACAAGAAGAAATCAAATTAAATCAAAAGTATATTTTTACAATGGAGGTTAACTATCTTCTGAATAAGAAGTAACTGAAATCAGTCATAATTTTTCTTCATCTGGCTACATTTTTGCATTGCAAATGCACAAGTTATTATATCATCAGCCTCATATTTGTCAATCTGCTTCCTTCCATCTCTTTCCTTTTCCCCAATGAAGCCCTATTATTGAGCCCTGTAATGGTTCATTCATGAGATGGATGGCTGAGGCTGCCTAAAATACCTCCGCCGACACCATATTTCTTCACTTCCTCTACCCATATTTCTCTCACCCTCTCTCTTACACTCTCTCTTTTTTTAGCTAGCCAGCTAGACAGGCCTGATCTGACATGATTAGCGGGAATGCTAAATCAAATGAACAGCTCTCGCCTTGACAACAAGTTCACGGCTTTAAAAGCACAGAGGTCCAATCTATTGATCTAGAGTTAGGCTCTTAAAGCACCCTTAGAATGACAGTAAATCCACTCCTACTGTAATACATGAAGGCTGTCTTGGCGGCAGGAAACATTTGGTCAAGAAGGACCTTATTTTTTTTACTGATCTCAGTGATTCTACAAGGAAGCCAAAGGTCTGTGTGATACAGAACTGTGTAGATCACATGCACACCCTGCAACCAACACTGCATGCATTATCGATCGGATGAATGGTGTGAGAACGGAAAAGCAGACATCCCCCGAAAAGCCTGTAACGTTAGTCATCTTTAGCGCCTGATGATCAGTGGCAAATGGTTTATGAAAGCAAGAGCTTATATGATGCACGAAAACAGTATATTTCGCAACAGATGCAGCTAAAAATGCCTCATAGTTCTGCAATGTTATGACAGATGCTTGATATTTCATACAGGAATCAAATTAAACTAACTGTTTCATGCTACTCACATGGTGGCGTCCTCCTAGATAATGGATCCCCTCTCACAGGGTCAACCTTCAACTCCCTGAACATCCAGAATAATTTTTTTTTAAGAATCGCCAGTGCGAGATACCTTTCCGACAAATGCGTCGCATTTCGGTATTGACCTGATGTTAAAGAGGAGAGAGGCTGTTCTAGGACGGGATGGATATGAGGGAGAGTGAGAGAGAAGGGACGAGAGAGCATCATGGCCTGATTGGATCCAGTTGGCACAGCTCCAGCGTAATCTGAGGTAAATCAGATGTGCAGAGGCCCACAGCTGTCAGTCAGCCAGAGAAACACTCTCAGGAAG